AGCGAAGATGTGAGCTGCACTGTGCATTCAAAACAATACAACCGCCGTAAATACCCAAAAAAAGATTACGAGCGTCTGTGCAATTACTCCGATCGCCCCAATTTTTCTTTTTTTTTTTTTTTTTTTCTGAGTACATCAACGATAACCTCAATATGAACCTCAATAAATCATGGTCAATAATGAAAGCCATCGTACGGTGTACGCCGACACATGCACGGGAGCCCCATTCCATTGGATCACGTGAAATCGCGAATATCCAAACAAAAAGTGCATTCATTACGTACGCACATAATCCGATACTTCACGGTGTGTGAAGGACGATCATCCTGCTTGTTAGATGTCTACACAAACAAAGCCTTAAAAATCGCTCGAATAACGCCATTGATTTGTCTATCAAAATTTCGGATCTTCGACTCGGAAGATTCTTGTATGTTATGCACACACGAAGGGAATGAAATTATTTTCTTAGCCAAGAGATCAAGGGGGGAGACATTAAGATAATTCTATTTTTTAATTTATTTTTAATTTAATTATTTTATTTATTTTTTTTTTTTTTTGACATGAAAATCATTTCTAAAGTACAGAACAGCTACAATGATAACAATGATGTAAGGTAGTACGATGTCTCCGGGACTCGCACGTTCCTTAATCCTCGAGAAGCGAACAGCAATAACACAAGAGGGAAGCAATGGCGCTATGGAGCAAAAGGAAGAGAAATAACGTCAGAATCCAGTCAAACTAAATGTTCATCTCATCACAACAAAGACCCATTTAAACATATGGTCGCAATACTGATAACCGCAAAAATCAAAATGACAGAAATGAAACGTTCATACAATCCGGTTAAGCAGTTGGGTGAATTGTCTTCCTCTTCCACAGATCGGTATGGAGCATGCTGATGTGAAGCTTGTGCGTTATAAAATGGGTGAGATTGCGTTGAATAATAGTAACCTAAAAAAAAAAAAACGATGATCATAATTTAGTGATGATCTGATACAAAACAAATTGCACCTGGATCGATAACGAGAAATTAAATATTAATGCTCAACAACCATGATTCAAACTTCCATAATAACCGGTGTTTCCTCCCCCCTCGCAGCTACCAACGCCGTTCGCATAAGGCCCCGGTTGGACATATGGCAACGGCGGTTGATTCGGTGAAGCATAAATCACCGATGGATTGTGGTGATGACAGTGACTCAAGTTGTTCTGATATGAAGGATAATGATTATATTGATGATTTTCGGGTATTGGTGGTAAAGGCGGCGCGCTTGGGTTATAACACCCTGCAGACGTTTCACCTGTGCGATGGCAGGTTGAACCCTGGAACTGGTTGGTGTTCTCCATCAATTGAGCATACTCTTCGTCCTGAAGTTTCTGCGCCAGACGAAGATCCGCCCCGGGGGGAACGGCGGTGGCCGGGTAAGGATTCTGAGAGTGATATTGTTGTTGTGGTGGCGGGATCTTGAAAGACATGTTTCGGATATTTAAAGTTTGCGCGTGAGAGAGAAACGAAAACTCCGGTCAAATAAGAAAAAAGAAAAAAAAAAAAAAAAAAAAAAAGAACGCGCGTTATCTAAGCCACCGCACACTTTTAAGCCTTACCTGGTTATTATTACCGGTGAGCTGGTCGACCAATGTGTAAGGAGGTGGTGGTGTATGTCCAGAACGTTCTTCAGATTCGTGAACCCGTTGCATTTTTTATGTGTGATTTTTTTTTTTCTTTCTTTTGAAAAAGAGAAGGTAGAATTTTGTGGAAGCAAATCTTTCCTTAAAATTTGTCAATCCTACGCAATTCAGCCAAGAAGGGCACATGCGAGCGCAGAATCTATCACCAGATCACACCGATTACGTATAGATATAAAAATCTCCTACAATCATGCTAATCACTTATTTGGGAGGTCAGCGGACATTTCCTTAATCCGAAAGGGGTTAATATGTCATACAAGATCCAAATTCTTTTATGGTTAGATGGGTCTATAATGTTCGGCCAGTAATATCAAAAATCGATAAGTCGATGCGACAGGTTAATTCATAAGAGGAAAGGAGGTTAAGGTGCCCATTTCTTTTTTATTTATTTATTTATTTATACACAATGGCACGCCGAAGAGTTAAGGGTGAACACAGGAAGAAGAGGTACACCAAATATAACACCAATAATGGATTAATAGTACACCACATCCATAAGATTACGGTTTATGCTTCTGTTTGCTGTTTAAGGTCCACCAAATTATGTTGAATGATAAATGCTGATTTTCTCTAACGGATCTGATGATAAAATGTGTGCGAAATACAGTACGTGTGCGTACGCACCTAAATGAATAATAAATATTTGATTGTATACGTACGCACATATATATTCATAATAGGTGAAAGGGAAAATGATGCGGGGCAATGAGCGGAAGGTGTTCGTCTCTCAACTATCAACTCACAAATATGTATGTGCATAATAATGGGAGGCTGTGGCTTTATACAAGATTGGATATTGAAGTACGGTGCATACTTTTCGTGCTGCAGAACGATATCCACTTTAGGTCAAAATTTCATGTGACCTTTTCGGAAACAAAAAACAAAGAAGAGCTTAAAGCTACACCAAGTAAGGGGAACCTCCCTTTGTGCAGCGCACTTAAATTTCAATAAAAAGCTCGCACGCAACGAACGTCCGCGTTGTAGACCTTCGCGGAAAATTCACCAGATATTGATAAATTACTGTAAATACCTTACAAATAATTACCAATATAAATAATACATACAGTATATACATATACATATATATATATTGTTCTAGAAAGAAAGAAAGAAAGAAAGAAAGAAAGAAAGAAAGAAAGAAAGAAAGAAAAAATGGTTCACAACACTCTCGTCGATAACTGCGCTCCGACCGACGAAAAAGAATTAAAGAGGATATCTACTCTGGAACAACGTGTGGCAGAGTTTGAGAATACTTTGCTGCGGACGGCAGCGGCCGCCCTGGAGAAACGTGTGGCAGAGTTGGAGGTGTCTTTAAAGGAGTCGAATGAGGAGTGCGATAAGTTGCGAAAGACGATAGTGGAAATGGGGAGTGCCAGGAAGAGGGATACTGTTCCTGGTGCGAAAGAGGAAAATGTTTCGGAAAAGGTGGACTTCACCTCGGAGAGCGGTGATGAAAAGGACAATGAAAAGGATACATTTGAAAGTTCCGATGAGCAGGAGGACAATAATTCAGAAGTCTCCGATACGTTAACATCATTACCCGAGAATGTAGTATTCGATGATAGGGAGGCTGAGGTCATATATGGACGAATATTAAAGTTAGTTGAGAACATGAAGTCCGATTGCACGAAGGCGATCAATCTCAAAATTCCTACGATGTCGCAATTACCAAAATTCCCAATGCGGCAAAACTCCAAACCCACCGCTACCGCCGCACCCACACCCGTATCAACGCCCACACCCACATCCTCAGCCTCACAATCAAGGATGCCTGGTCGCTCAAGGGCGCCCAGCGTGTCGGGCGTATTCATTCCCTCTCGTCCCTCCACACCTTCCAACGGTCATCAAATATCTCCAAGCATTTCCAACAGTCCCACGCGGATGGTCACCCCATCAAGGGTTCCAAGTTTGCCTTCGTTAAACGGCTCCCGGCCAAGCACCCCTTCTTCCGGTGCATACTCACTCATAAATTCAATAGGCTCCCTATCCTCATCACCACAAAGCAGTCCGGTGATAGCACACAACCTAAGAAGGAAGTCCTCATCTATATCAAGACCAAGGACACCAAATTGGTCGCCAAGTTGCAGTGCGCCCGGCACTCAATCTCCACCATTGTGCAACGGAATAAGCATTCAATCGAATCACCACGCGAGCATCATATCCTCCGGTGTTCCAAAATCCACAAACATTCCGATGCACATCCCATCAATGCGCAATTGTCGTAAGTTTGCTCACAATTCTTGATCCGCAAAAAATCTCGAACAATAACTAATTTCATTGTCATTCGTAATCAATCGCAGGCATGACTTCGTAATATAGGGCATTTGTAAATTTCCTTGGACGGGTGGTCTCTGAAACTTTTTTCCCGCTGGGTGCCTTACGCTGGCGTGTTCTTACACTCGGCCATCTTCCCGCCTGGTTTTCAATTCACTAGATTATGAGATTCATGAATGATTCCTAAAACCGCGTGCACTATAATTCGTCACCTATTATTCTAATCATTCAAATAAAAGGGGGACAAGAAGATCATATTGTTTCGCGATTAATGTTAACATTTTATTGATGCAATTCTCATAATGATTTCTTAGAAAAAAAGTTAAGTCCACAGTCTGACCTCTGTCTCTGAATTTAGAGTGCTTTAATAAACATCATTTTGAAAGTCGCCAACCATTGAAAGGTTTATACGTACAGTATGTGAATGCATTTCTATTTACTTATTTATTTATTTTTCACTTCATTGTAATTATTGACTTTTCTATCTGTACAAATTTCGAGTTTTTTTTTTTTTTTTTCATTACATGCACCATATAGTATATTATATACAGTATATATATATATATATATATATATATATATTTTTTCTATTTATCCGAGTACAGACTATTCATTGTAAAGAAATCTCGTATCACTACTATCGCCTTATTCTATTCAATAATTTTTATTGTAAATCAATAGAAGAAGAATTAAGCAGCTTATATAACCATTAATTCATAAAATAAGAAAAAAAAATCCCCTCATATTTCTAAGCAGATTTTTCCCTTGCAAATTAATCATAAATAAATAATTCTTTGTAAGATTACATTATCGGCGGTATAATATTTCATTGCATAGATTGATTTGATAAACCAATTGATCTTTCTGATATTTTATTTAGGCGTTGAAAAAAGAGGTAAGGAAAATATTCGAATACATGTTATAACGTATACCCGAAAGTATGCTACCTTTTTTTTTTTTTTTGCAAAATTTTAGAAAATTTTAAATTAGAAAAATCAATGTACAGTATATTTTTCTATGACAAATCATTTTTGATTGCTATCACTCAGTATTAAAAATATTAACAAAAAATTTGATATACTATACAAAAAATTTGCATACTATAACAAAAAAAATTTTTTTACATACTATATCAAAAAATTTAACAAAAAAATTAATACTATGGCAAAAAATTCAGCAAAAAAAATTGTATACTGTTGCAAAAAATTAGACAAAAATTACAAATCCAATATTAAAATTTGATAAATATTTAGGAAGTTTATCAAATTCTATGAAATTTATTAAAAAATTAAAAAAATTTAAAAAATCAATTGATTAAATAATTGATTAAATGATTCATTATTTTCCTCTTCCTCTTCCTCTTTTTTCTTCTCTTCCACTTGCTTTTTTTTAAAGATTTGGCTTGACTTTTTTAAAAACTAGCTTCAATTAGTTTTATCTTATCAAATATTTTTTGTAATTTTTTGCTTTTTTCTTTTAACTTTTTAACTATTTCTTAAATTTCACTTATTCATGCACTTTTTTTAGCTTGTTTCTTATCTTCTAAATATATTAATGATTTTTTTTATTCAATAAGTTTTTATTTTTTGAATTTAACTATTAATTTTTATATTTTTTTCTTGTTCATATTTTGAAATCTCTTTCAAATTATATATCTAATTTAGCAAGCCTTTTGATAATGTTACATTGTAGAAATATAAATCATTCTGATATTATTTATAAGTAAATTAATATATTTGAATTGATTTTAAATATTAAAATAAATATTTTAACAAATCCTTTAACTATAAGTAATAAAAATTAATATTATAATTATTCAGCATAAAATAATTTGTTGAAAAATATCTTTTTAGAACACCAACTATAATCATATATCTTCTTTTAATAAGATTTCCCAAATCAGATTCACTTTCTTTAAATAAATAAGTCTTTGTTTTTTTAATTACTATATATCCCTTAAATTATTTTAATATTTATTAACTTTCTTAGATCTTTATTTAATAAGCAACTGTACACTTTTAATTTTTTTTTTTTTTTTGAAAATCGACTCAACCTTTAATTGGCTTTTTATTAACTTTAAACTTGATATTACATATGTATTATCTACTTTAGAGTTAACTACAAATTAGTAACGATACTGACATGTATGTTGAAAAATTTGTATGCAAAGATTCCTCCTAATTCAGATCTCCTATGAGGACCTCCGTAGTCTGTTGCCTCACATATACAGGGAACTAGCCTGCCTGGGCTGGGCTAGTAAATGTATTCCTTATAGTTTTTATCAAAGAAGTGTAACTAAAAAAAAAAAAAAGTGGTTGCCGGGTGATGACCTAAAAATTTTTTCGTCTACCAACTGTCCACTGAGACTTTCATCAAAAATAAAACCAATATTTACAAATTATTTGCTGAAGTACGGTGTTTAAATCTTCGAAAGGGAGAGGAAAAGGGGTTGTCTTTCTTGAGCGGGGTGGGGAATGGTTTCAGAACTCTATGTTCTGCCTAGGGGATTACTTATTCAAAGAATCGGATGGAACCTGCGTCTAGAAGGATACCTTGAAACCTATGGAGGGGTTGTCAACCTAGTCCTAAAAATAATACCAGCTTCAAGTATATGCTGCTTATTTAAAAAGGCACAAATTTTTCAAAGTCAGGCTAAGTCTTTAAGGGATCTATCAATCTGGCAAACATTTCCATTCGAGTACTCTCACTAGGAGTAAGATTGATGGGTACCACTAGCGACCATAGAAGGCCGTGCTGGAGAGGGAGTCATGTTGAAATTCTTAATGTTGTTCTTCAGTTTGTGATCCTCCCACAAACTATGGATCAGGAGCAAAAAACCTGCCAGTTAGGAAAAACTTCCTGTTCACCTTGTTTGTTTTTATTTAAAAGAAAAGAGTAGATCTTTACCTATCTGCAAGAGCTACGAGAACCTATTTGGCTACCAAACATAGGTGACTTCAATGCCAAAAATGATTGAAGTATCTTGTAACCTTTTCCATGATTGAGTGGACTCTTTAATCTGAATTTCGACTGATGTGGGAGGGAGCATGTCCTATATCCATCCGCGTATCAGGAAATGACTTATGGTGAACCCCAGGTTCTTATGGAGCTGAGGAAATGCATTCAAACACGTGAGATGACCAATAGAAGCTTGTTTATCAATTTTGTCTGACGTGTTTCGTGCTAGCCAATCAGAGTTGGTGAGATCCATGCTACCCGAAATTTTAGGGTCAAACTGAGATAGCCAAAATTCCCCAGAAAGCCATGAAAAAGGTAGCTCTGAGAGGCCAGGAATCAACAGTCAAAGGAAAGAAAAATGAGTCCTTTAACTGTAGTCAGAAATCTCTGTTATCTCCATCATAGCTGAAAGGTAAGGGATACTTCAATATCAGTTCTTCTTCCTTAGAAACTTTCTTGGTATAGGTAATAAAGGTAGGAGCTGGACTTTATAGGCCACAAGAGTCCAGTTTATTCAAAGGCGATTGTAAACAAGAGGAAAGAAAAAGGTGAGAGAGTTATGAAGGGACTCTTTGAAATGGTTTAAAGAAAGTAGTAAGACTTTATTAGTATAGAAGTATAAAACTTCTTGCGAACATCTTTTTTGTGTGTGGTCAGAGGATCAGCGGAAAGAGTTTTATTATAAAAGGACTGTACACCTTTAATTATTTATATCCTTTTCTTAATTACTAATTAAAATTAATACTTAAAAATAGTATAAATACAAAAAATTATTAGTCTAACTTTATTTAATTGGTTATTTGTATATAAGCTATCATTGTTCACTTCAAACTTCAGAAAAACTATATCCAAATCTTTAAAGAGAAAAATATAATAAAAGCTAAAGACAAATAAATTGAATTAATCCAAAATAAATAAAAGAGAATACAAATAATACAGAAATATAGAAATTCATAAAACCTTAATACAAAATAAAATGAAAAGATATAATCAGAGAAACTATTATACATAAAATACTTTAAATGGTTAAAATTATAATTAATGATAGAAAAAAAGTACTGAAAACAATTAGATTAGTTACTCACAAATTTTAAAAAATAAAGTGAAAAATGTAGAAACTCAAATATAATATTACAATTAATTAAAAAAAAAGTCAATATATAAACAAAAGACTTAAACATCAAAAGAAGCAAATCAAGATTAAAACAAGAAAGCAAACCATAGTAATATAAAGTTTAGATTCACTAATCATATAAATATTAAAAGCTTCAAAACAAATTTAAAATCAGAGCAGATACAAATAAATTTAAAAAAATATTTAAAAAAGAATTTAAAGAAATATACAATAGGGGACGAAAAAAATTGTCTTTTTTTAAATATATTCAACTTAATAAAGAATTATTTAAATTAAATTAAACTTTAAATATAAATACTTAAATACCTAAAAATTAATTTTACTTAAGATTATTTTGTAATTATTATTATTATTATTATTTTATATTTTAATTAAAAATTTTTATATTATATACAAATTTTATATATAACTTATAATATTTATATGAATTAATATATAAAATTTAAAAAAAAAATTAAAAATTATTTTATAAAACTAAAATATTTATATTAATATTTTTTTATATTTTTTAAAAACCAAATTTTATATTATAATAAACATTTTAATTTTTTTTGTCCTCTACTATATATAAAACCAATAAATCTTATTAGAAAATATCTTAAATAATAGCTAATTTTCTTTTTTTTTCTTTTCTATAAATATCAATGTTAATAAAGTTCTGACATATTAGTATCTATAAAGATGCACTGCAACAAATCATTGAATTTTTAGTTATAGAATACTGAGTTATGGTATTTTTTTTTTTCATAAATATACAAATTTATAATTTAATTTACATATATAAGCCTATACTAATGAATAAATAAAAACTCAATAGTAGGGCTTTACTAGGTTAAAAAAAAATTTATAATAATATAAATTACATATATTTTAACTTCAAAAACTCTTTTTGTTGATCACTTAACTATATACTAAATAATATTTACAAGAAGTTTTTATACTTTCTTACTAATAAAGTTAAAACACTTTCTTTACAATAGCTTGAAATATAATTTCAAGAATTATTTTACTCTTTCTTTATTATTTATAAATCTCTTTACTCAAAAACCTAACTTCTAGTTATCAAGAAAAATCAAGTAATACCTTTGATAATAACAGTAAGAAAGTTTTCAAAGGAAGAAAAACTGATTGTAAAGTACTTAAAGATGTTTTTAATCTTTGAAGCAAAAAATTTATGGAGGTTTTCTATAGTAAAAAGACTTATTTTCTTTTTTTTTTATTGTCTTGATCTTCTTAAAGCTTTTACTTTTATGGTTTTCTGGAAAATTTTGCTTATCTCTATTTGACCTTGAATTTTGAATAACCCAAATCCTTATCAAAGGTAATTTTTAATATAAAATATATTGGTTTTTGAAATATAAACAAGTTTCTATTGATAATAATAGATCCCTAAAATATTTAATATATAAAATTTTATAGATTATTTATATTTTTTTTAAAAAACAAAATTTATAGCTCCTTAATTAGTAAGAACAAAAGACAATAAATACTATAAATTAATGATTTGGATAATAAAAAACAATTGTAAATAGTTTTTTTATAATTATTAATTTAGAAATTTTAATATTTTCTAATAAAGGATATTTGATTTTTGTCTTTGCCTCTCCTTTTAAGGACCTATCTTTACCTATTGATTACACTCACATATCTTAACATATTATTGATAATATAGAAAAGAAAGTACTAAAAAAAGAATTCTCTCCAATTATATATACTTAACCTTCAGAAAACAATTATAATACTGAAAGATGAGTAATAAGTAAAAAAAAAATCAACTTCTATTTCTCATTAAGTTTCTTTAATGATAAAAAGATTTTTTTGAATAAAAGTTGAGATCTTCAAGCTTTTATTTTGATCAGATAAAGTTTTTGAAAAGATTTCTTTATTTCAGTTAAGTAAACTTTTTTTATAATATATTATTAGTTCCAGTAGTATTAAGTGAATTCATATATTGATAAAAAATAAGTTTCTCAAATATTTTTTGAAGTTATTTTTAGAAATAATTAAATTCCTCAAAAGTTATAATACTTAAATAATATTCCAATTAGACAAACCTCTTTGAAAGAAAACTATAAAATAGAGTAAAAATTTTTTAAAGAACTTTAAATCATATTTTTTTTTTCTTTTTTTCTAATATTATACTTTAGTAATTCTATTAATTAGAAATCTTAATCAAATTACTGAAGAAGTATAATATTATTCTCTAAATTCATTTAGAATACCTAGTTTAGACTTAGTTTTATTTAGTCTGAACTAGTTTAATAAACTTTTTATATTTTTTAAGTAGTGTAATTCTTATATTAATAATATACACTGATAAGTTAATCTCTTTATAAAAGTTTGCAAATATATATATCTTTTAATATTCCAATAAAGACATGCCATTATAACATTATTATGAATTAAAAATAATAATAATAATAAATAAATTATATATTAAATATAAAAAATTGCGATTTAAAAAAAACTCTTTCCACTAATCCTTTGACCATGCATAAAAAAGATGTTCGCAAGAAGTTTTATACTTCTTTGCTAATAAAGTCTTCATACTTTCATTAAAACAACTTGAAGCTTGTCTTCATGTATCTTTCTGATTCTCCCTTACTTGTTTATAAACTTCTTTGAATAAAAACTTGAGCCTCTAGTGGCCTGAAAAGACTCAAGTATGTATTTCCTTTACTAAGGACAAGAAGATTCTAGGAAGTAAAAAAACAAACAAGTGGAGTATCACCTTACAGAGTTAAACGAGACAAAAAATAGAGGTTCTGTTGATAGGAAAAGGCTAATTATTCACCTTCTCACATACTATCTTATACCCTTTTAAAATGTCTACTGTTTTTCATAGTTTTCTTGGGAAATTTTGCTGATCTCAGTTTGATCCTAAATTTTTGATAGCACAATGTCATCTGGCATTTGATTGTTTAACACGAAATACATTAGTAACTGAATGTAAACAAGCTTCTATTGATTATTTTATATATTTCGATAATATCATTAGTAATAGAAAGAGTTGATTAATATCTCATGTCCACCCACTCCTCCAATTGGATTAACCTACAGATCAAGTACTATGTGATCAATAAAATACGAGCAACAAGTTCCCAGGCAGTAAAAAAACTGCTATTTGTTCAAGCTGAGATCTTTTTCTCCTATTATTTTGGTCAAGTAAAGTTCAAGACCAAGGTCTTCTTTTTATTCTGGTCAGGCAATAAGACCAAATGGTCTCTAGTCTATGCTAAGCTCCAACTCTTTGGTTACAGTTGAAAATATATTTTCCCATAAGTTGTTGAATGATATCGCAATCAGCGAGGATCTTTATTGCTCTTCTTGTATCCTTTCACTATTATGAAGCAAAAATAGCTTTAAGAAATGATTATTTTGGGCAATATAAGATATACACTAGTAAAATTCTTTTAACTAAGCATGGCTGCCAGAAGATATTATACTAAAACAATACGTTCCAGTTTTTACTAAGTCACATAAGAATCTGGGGTCCACCATAAGTCACTTGTTTACTGTAGATAGATAAAAAATTACTGCCCAAAGAAGGTTGAAACAAAGTATATTCTGAAAGTAAAGGCTCTCACTAGACAATAAGTTTCCTCAGATAGTATATGAGAAGAAAATCAATATCAAAAATGGATAAGTTTCTCAGACAGTCAAGAAAAGAAAGAATATTTCAATCGAATATTTTATATTGAAAAGAGGTCTTAAGAAGTAGATCTTTGAAGGAAACTGGAAATATTTTTTTCAATTTTTATTTTTACTTTTCTTGTTGTTTATTTAGACATTTTTAGATATCTTCTATTTCTTTTTTTCAATCCATCCTTTTGTAGTTTCCTGATTCCAGTGGCTTGAATTAATATACAGCAGTAATAACCTGCTAGTAATAATACAGTGAACTAGGAGAGTCTTTACCCAAAGACATTGCAGAGTGAAATATTGTTCCCAAGGTTGAACTTAAAGACTATTATACTTATGATAAGTTAGTTAGATTAGAATAATAGTTAAATCGTAGTATGTATTATATTGCTCGAATGAAAATATACTTATGTTTTCAATTGATTAATAAACTCACAATCTAGTCTGGCTATAAATATACAAAAAAAAAATAAATAAATAAATAAAAAAATAAATTATAAATTATATATTATATTATAGTTTATGATCTACAGGTTCATAGTGTAGTGGTTAACACTCTATAGGTTAAATCATAAGATACGAGTTCAAATCTCAGTGTGAACTCATTTATTGACTTAACTGTATATATCTGATGTTTCTGAATATAGCTACTAAATATTAGAGAGAAAACCTGTTAATCAAGTAGATGGTTTATATGAAGATCGTGATTGAATCAATCCTTAAAATCAAAACTAAAACTATTTTGAATTGGTAATATTGCTTCAAAGCAATAAGAAGAGCAGATCCAATTGATTGGTAAAGTGTCTCTGAAGATGTTGCAAGCACTGGACAATGAAAAAGGGGGCTCTGTCTTAACTATAGGAAGGTCTTGGTGAGAGGAGAAACTTATGGATCATTCTGAAGAACCAAAATATTGGATCCAAAATAAAAAAAAATTTAATATTCTAATAACTAGCCTACTTTTAATAAAATTGAGCTAGAAAGAAATCAAGAAGAAATTATAGTGCTTTCTGATAAGATAGTACTTATACATATAGTATAATTTATATAAACTAGCTAATATTTTTTTTTTTTTTTTAAAGGCTAGCTCATTCCTGCGCCAGTTCTGAAACTTTATTAATGTCCAGATAAGTCCTAGGAACAACTGGGATGAGTAATTACTAATACTGTTTAAGAATTTACAGATCAATGAATAGTACAAGAGGGCATCTATTTACGTCTCACCCAACCAGGATTGAATAACTATGTGACCGTCTAGTGTATGACTTTTTCTTAATTCTAACTCAACTAAGGATTTGGGGATTCTTTTATACTTACAATCTAATGAAGTGATTCTACCTATTACCTCGAATGTTTGGAAATGGCACTTCCTAGGACCATAGTCCACCGGATGACTCTGTTGCTATCCCCTTGTGGGGGAGCTAACATGTCAGGAACTCACCTAAGATATCCAGCATCACCGATGTTGGGATCTCTTATACGGAATCCTATTGGCTCCGTTAGTGCTTTAAATTTTTTCTGGAGGCTTGTTGTATTTCTTGTGCTGTCAAATTACTT